GGGACTTGCTTGGAGCTGTGTATCTCGGCCAGAATTGACTGTAATTGAAAGTTGAAAACAGTGTTCAATGACAATCATCAAGAATCATTTTCTTTCTGAAGGGATACAAATATCATCCTGAGGCAAGCCAAGATGCAGAAGCTGTGGCCGAAGGCTTCTGTTTACGTGGTCCAACTGAATGCTGGCGAAATGCAGCTCGTGAAGGCCAAGCCAGCCTATGTTTTGGTCTCCCACCACGGTCCCGGGAACCTCAACGTGCCGGCTTCGCTGCCCTTGCTGAAAAGCAGGGCACGAGGCTTGGAGCAGACTCGCCTTCGATGCTTGGATCGTGGATGTTACTTGTCCACAAAGCAGATAGCCGCCGTCGTGTGCAGGCATCCTGTGAATCGGAAGATTCTGTCCTCCGGTAAGGTTGTCTTCGCACCGACCAAGAGAAGGCTGACATGTTCAACGACCCCAACAGTAAGGTGCCGACTGATCAAGACACTCGGCACAGCACCAGACACAGTCACAAGGTGATCTGCAGAGCCGAGTGTATGTAATACATAAGACGAATAAATGATAAGGAGCTGGACATGGAGCACCGGGAGAGCCCCGCCTTCGACATCATGGCTGCCGCTGGGCTGGAGGAGGAGGATCTGAACTTGTTGAAGGGGAATGAGGCAGACAAGAAGGAGGGGGAGGGTCAGGAGGAGGATAAACGCTACATCGTCGACCTGTTCCCCTTCACCCGCCCGGTCCAGTTCTACAGGAAGCTCTTGGGTGAGGTCTTGATGACGACAGGAGCTGGAACAGCCGTGTTGTTGACAAGCACTGCCCACCCTGGGTTCTGGCTTGCAGCACGTGCTGAATCCATGTCCGTCTTCGTCTTGCTGAAAAAGGCTTCGAATCTGCATTTAGTTTCTTGATGATAGGTTCTTCCTTCTGAGCTCGAGCTGTGCCAGAAGCAAAACTCTGAGGTGTCTTCGCATTCGATTGCCCATGGCAAGGACATCGCCTTCACCTACTTGGCTGGCCTTCGCTACAAGGAGCTCACTGAAGCCCACAGCGTCGGTGTGAAGAGAAAGTTCGGGAAGACGGAGATGCAGTCGCAGTACATCTGCGGACCGAGACTGCCCGATGAGCAGCTGGTGGAGTTCCTGGAGAAGTCGCCTGATTCCTTTGGGTCGTTCTTCCACTTGGATTCCTATCCCTCGAACCTGCGAGAGGCCTGACAAAGACTGTCGAGCCAAGAGGAAATAGTGTGGTGACACATAATTGTCCTGGATTAAATTTCTATACCTGTTCAGGTGTCCATCAACCTCATGCAGAACGAGCTGGATGCACATGGACTTTGTGTGCAGGAGTTCCAAGGTCGAGGCCGTGGGCTGGTGACCAACCGGTCGATCCGCGAAGGAGACATCATTTGCCCTTGCTCCTGCATCTACTTCACGGACGAGACGAAGCTGTTGCAATGCCTGCAGGCGCAGGATTATTTTGCGGACTCCGAAACTTGGCTATGGGTGGATTGGAGTAGCTGAAATTGTGTTTTTTGGTTTTAATTTTATTTCAATCAATGGGCGTTTCTTAGACAAGCTGGCTCAGCTAGTCGACATTCTCAGGTCGTGGTCGTCGACAACATGCTTGTTCGTGGACAGCCATGCAGGCTCTTCTGCGTCTTGGTAGGGGCCGCCAGGTTCGTCAACGATTACCGTGGCACGAGACGCCCCAATGCCAGGCTGACGATGTCCCCTACGTCTTTCGCCTTGGTCTTGGAAGCCTGCACCCCGAACGGCGTGGGCATCGCATCAAGGGCGGAGATCACGATCAACTACGGCGTCGAGTTCGACATGAACACCAAGATCGCCCGCACATCCACCGAGGACGACTCCAAGTTCATGGGCATGCTCGACAAGTTCTTTGTGAGGTCGACGAACTCAGAGGATGATGCCGACATGGGTGTTCAGGCACAGTGCCTCCAAAATCTGTCGATGTTTAGACACTCTTTAGATTATGACCCGAGCCTCTAGGTAACCTGGCAGGCTTCATTCATTCAATAAGTCCGACCTATCTACAGTACAGAGGGAGAATAGTACTATACTGTTACTGGTATTATGAAAAGAAGTCTTGCTAGTTAATATTCAGACACCTTATGAGAGCAGGGGTGGAGGTGATTAAAAAATCAAACACCTTATGGGAGCAGGCAGTGGCACCGGCCATCGGGGCAAAGGCTACGGCTGCAGTGGCGGACTCTGCGAAGCCTTCGCCTTCGCCTTCGCCTTCACCTGTGCCGCCCGAAAAGGGGCAGTCTCTGCTTCCTGGGGCACCCGTTCCGAAGCCAAAGCCGCCCCCGAAGGCCAAGGCAGAGCCGCCTTCGACAACGCCTGCGCCGACGCCTGCACCAACGCCTGCACCTTCGCCTTCGTCGGCTTCTACGCCGATTGCGAGCATTGGCTCCCCGAAGGTGGACGTCGTGCTGTCGGAAGGCAAGCTGCTGGCAACGTCTCAGGAGAGCAGCAACAAAAGGATCCCACGAGAAACGGTTCTGGCGAAGTGGGTTGGTGGAGGCGGCTTTCAGAGAAGTGCCGAGCCATTGCCAAAGACGATCCCCTACAATCTCACCATGAAGGGGATGGTCTTCGACTTGGCCAAGCAGAAGCTCTGCACCTTGGAGGATGCGATCGTCGCCAACAACGCCAGTCAAGTTCATGGCTACAAGCCGGTCGTGGCAGGGGCGAAGAAGATTGAGACGGAAGGTCGGGCAAGTTCTGCGGTTTTGTCGCCTGCTTCATACATTTGTCACGTAATTGCCTGACATTCATTCTCTGGCCAGGACTGCCGCTGATGCTGCTGCCCGAAGAGAGCCTCTACCTGGACCTCTACGCCGCGACTTCAACTTCGTCTTCGGTGGGTCTGTGCTGGTCCCTGGCATTGGAAGGTCAGGTGCTGAAGCCACGTGGCTTGTGCTTGTATGTGAAGAAGCAGCTCAACATTGAGCCGGCTAAGCCCTTGCAGCTGTGATTCCTTGTAATATGAGGAAAGCAGAGCTCAGAGACCTTAAGCCAAAGAGCAAACCTGCTGTAAATCGTAGTGCGTCTCAAATAAATAGGAGTTATTGCTGAGTGGAAGAGTTTTCTGCTTCCTCATGCAAGGTTTCAGCAGCATCCTTCTGGATGCTCGATATTTTTGAAGTTCATGCCCTGTAGTCTGGGCACCTCCGTCGGTAGCATTCTTCATGTCGTCTTCGCCTTGGGCCTGCTGTCTGGGTCTGTGGCCTTACAGGAAACAAGGAATCCTTGTTCGGGAGCATGCTTGATGCCTTGGCCTTGGGTTTTCCAACTGGGCCTTCGCCTTCGTGTCATTGCAGTACACTACATCATTACCAATATGTATTGAATAAGCGCCCTCAATGTGCTGATGGCATCAAATTTGCATGCTCTTTCACTTTTGCCGCACAGAAGTGAGTGGAAAATCAATGAAGTGACCGACCTGCTTGGTTCGTGCAAATGCAGTCTCCAGTTCCATTGATTCGTTATTGCACCTTGCTTTGCCCGGCCAGGCCTGAGACGTCCTCGCTGGCAGCTCTCGTGCAGCGGTGCGTGAAAAAGACGTGCAAGTTGTTAGGGTAAAGACCAAGACCAGGGTGGGAATACTAAGTTTCTAGTAAACCAAGACGAAAGCGAAGACCAACCCCAAAATAATCTCTAGCCCAAGCCACAGGCACGAGTCTGAAAATCCTCCTTCATGAAACCCTAAACATTCCCCAGCCCCCAAGCTCCTCGTCTACGCTTCAAGGGGGCATCAGAAACCCTAAACATACCCAAACCATTAACCCCTCATTGGAGAGCCAGAGCTTCGACTACAGTTACAGAGTAGCACTGCAAGCGGCACATGAATCCCACGTTCATTAAGGTAATCTAATGAATCCTGTTCAAAGTTCAAAGTCTGGACGAACGGTAGAATCAGGAAAGGAAGAATGCATGTTCACTGGATCGTAGGCGCTCCTTCGCTGCTGCAGCAGCGCCCGCTGAACAGCCGAGCTGGTTCCAAAGCGTGTGCGTGTTGCCACTCTACAATGAATGACACAACAAGCATAAAGATGGCCATCGGGCAGGAACATCGGCTAAAGCTCGATAATGCGTGCCCAAAGAGCTCAGGGTGCAGCGTCAGCCGCTTGCAACCTGCTTCCGCGATGCGCGATTCCCGAACTCGAAAGACGTGAGATTGCAGTCGTGGACAGTGGCGCAGGCATTCTTGTTTATGCAGATCCCGCTTGCTGCCAGCGCACTGCAGCCGTTCGACGTTGAGCCGGGGCCGAATGGCAACATCCGCCAGCTCTCTGACTGACTTTCTTCCCAGAGCATGGCTGGAAACCTGATTCCTGACAGTCTTGGGACAAGTCTTGTGTCTGACATCTAGAATCTAGAGCCTCCAAGCCGTGATGGCACTGACATTGGACTCTGTCGTGGCTGGCTGCGGCTGCGTGGCTGTCCAAAACTCTCATTAGCCTATGCGCTGTTTTCGATGCGGAGGAAGAGTGAGGCCGTCAGGCGTTTGTCAAATGGGTTGCCCGGGACCTGGGACTTGTAATTGCCACATGTTGCTAAAGTGCTAAAGCTGTTTACACATGCTCAGGTGGCTGGTATTTCAAGCGGGGCCTGAGGGTTAGCAGTTAGATTGGGAGGCGGTGCGTCTAGGGTGCAGGCTTTCAAGCCATTGCTCAGTTTGATCGGGCTCGCAGTCTCCCATGAGCCGCTGCTGCTAGGTTGCTACGTTCGAGATCAACTTATGATGTTGCACGAAAACAGCTTTGTTCTATTGCTTCCAGGTAAACGGTGCCTCAACACGTTTTACACATCCGCCGCGACTGACAACGCTTCGTGATCTCGATGTCCTGTCACGCGGGTCATGCAGAACAGTGAGGATTTCATGTCCTCATATCCCGTTACCAAGCAGCTACAAAAGGAGAGATCTTCAGAGTTGGTCTCAGAAAGTGCGAAGCTTAAGACAAGTCGTCAGCCATGGCGTCGCTCGCCGCGTTCCGCCGTTCCTGGGGCCTGGTGGTGCTGATGCTGTTCCTGCCGCTGTGCTCGAGGGCTCAGTTCACAAGCTTGCCCAACCCGTAACTCTGTTGCTCCATCTGGCTCAGACTTTTGATGCTGATGCATAGACGGCTCATTGGGGATATTTTCTGCCTGAGGCTTCGTCTCAGTCGGCACCGGCCGCGGTCGTGGCCGACGGGTGGCCTACCAAGCCCGTCACGCGGCGCCGGCAGAGCCCGAGCTTTCCTCCCCGGCCTGGGAGGAGAGCGCACAAGTCATCTTGGACATCGTCGAAGGTAGCACCAAGGAAGATGCCCTGGATTGGCTCCAAGCAGGTGCCGTCACGCGATGCCTTGAGGAAGCGAAGCAGCCCTGCCCTGGGGCCCTGGGCCCTGTTTCAGGCTATGCCTGGACGGCCAAGAGCCGACGTTTCTGGCGGAAGCTGCGCGAAGAGCCGAGCCCACCGGAGCCGGAGGCGGTGCGGAGCATTGCAACTCGGATTCGGAAAGAAGAGAAGAAGAGGGAAGAAGAGGTTAGGAAGAGGTTGTTGGTTGTTTTCCCTCAGAATTCCGCATTCTGCGGGTGTTTTATGATGTTGCACTCATTGCACTCTGGTTGGGGGCTTCAGCTTCAAACGTGCGAGGTTTAGTTCTTTCTGCTCCTTTGATCTGGCACTGGTGCCCGCATTCTTGTCTCCAGGCGCGCTGGTTGCAAGAAAAGGGCCTGGCGCAGAAAGCTTGGGCCGTTGCCTTCGATGGCTTTCGAAGCACAGTTTTTTCACACCGATGAAAATACTGCCGCTTGGGCCGTGCCCTGCCCCGAGGTGCGGCGCTTCCCAGAAGTACTTGGCAGGGTCCCCATGCACAGCTTGTGTGAGGCCTGCATTGACATTGACGTGGCATCCCATGTCCTCCCCAGGCCTCAGCGTTGAGGATCTAGAGGAGGGAAGAAGCACAGCGCCCAGCTACCTGAAGAGCGAGGACACCTACAACAAGGCTCGATGTCCAAGTTGCTCTGCGCTGACCTGAGAGTGAGAGTCAAAAGCAGAGCGAGGCCATCAAGTCCAACCCAACGCTGCTCGGAAAGCGCCTTTGCCAAAGCGTGGCCGTGCAGTCGCTTGGTGCTTTCTGCGTGGGCTCAGGAACTACGACTGCCTCCAGGAGCACGAGAGCTGCCAAGGGCGCTGCTCGCGCTGTTGGAACACCTAACGGCTTAACGGCTGCGAACGGGCGGTGAGGATTGGCATGCCATTGGCGCACAGGTGCCCACTTGGCTGCTCTGAGCCAAATTGCAGAATTAGCTTCGATTTTCCACCCCTGCAATTTGCATCCGCGAGCCTCTCGAGGGCCCTCGGAAGCTCGAAAAAAGCCTCAGTCCTGCTCTGCCGGGATCGGCGGGTCTCCCATTCGAGAAACCTGCAACAGGACGGATGCCAAACAGTCCGAGCAGTACAGGTCTGTGTGAATGTCTTGGTTTCTCGAGCTTCCTTTCAATTCCGAAGAACATCGGCGGTTTCAAGCTCCGTGCTGGCTCGAGCTCTGGCGCGGTTTGAGGTTTGGTAAGTATTTCAGGCTCTTCATATCAAGCAGCCATGAAGCATGCGCTGCTTCTGCTTGCGCTGCCGGCACACGCTGCGCAGATCTCGACGGAAGTCTCTCATATGGGACAGCCCGAGTCCCGATGGATGCGATCCGAGGCCGCTTGGTGCGTGATGTAAGGATCCAGCTTTTTGCTTTCTGATAAGCAGGCCTCGATGCGAGAGGAGGACGAGTGGTGGCCAAGTGCGCAGGTGCGGCTGGAGCTCCATATGCTGATGTGCGAAAGTGATGCCATGTTACCGCGAGCATGAGCATCGCTCAGGCGACCTTCCCGAGACCTTCCTACGCTTCTCGGCTTTCATTTGGCGAAGTTGCACAGGAAAAGAGAAGCTGACTCTAGAGATTTTTCTAGAGTCTTGACTGGGCAGGGCAACCCGAGCTGGAGCTTTGCTTGGAGCGGAAGCCATCCTGGTCCTGGATCCCTTCCTGGCCCCCATCCCCATCCTGGAGGGCCTGGGTACCTGCCTTCTGTGCCATGGCATCAGGCCAGGGTCCAAGCAGGCAACGAGCCCAGCTATGACTCCCATATTAGAGCACTTCCCTCGCCGTGCGCATTTGCGTGTAGCGAGGAGGAATCCAAGTTAAAGTGATGGGATATTACGACACTCAGCGACGAGTAATCGCGATCCCATGACCATTTCTGTTTTGTATACATCTGTGTCGGATGGAGCAAGCCTGAAACAAAGCAACTCACTTTCTACACTTTCTCCTCCACTCTTCCGTCTATCTTTATCGATTCTGTTCTGTTGTGTACCCTTGCTGGAACGAGGAGTAGGGGGGCAGAAGTGAGAAAAAGCCAGAGACCCCGCGGCTCGCGCGGTCTTAGGCTCCGGAGGCGAAGAGAGGCGCTCTCTCTCCTCTCGCTGAGAGCCCGGGGGGGATGTTTATTCTAAGTTGCCCTCTCATCGGGGGCTGTTTTTCTGCCTGCCCTCTGTCCTGTTCTTCTGTGCCTCTCCTCTCGGCTCTTTTTCGTAAGCCGTCTCGCGGCCAAGCTCTGCATTTGTTCTTAACTTACGAACCATGATTTATATTCAGTGAAAGAGAAAGATGGCTATAGGCAAGGACAGGAATCTCTTTTCGTTCTCTCCCCCTGTCTTTCTCTCGCGCCGTCTGTCCGGCTCTCTCGGTCGCCTGCAGGAGACGCAGAGACGCATTCAGAGTAGGTCTGCCTTTGCCTGCCTGGAATCTACGGCAGGGTGCTGGGTACAGCGGCTACGGCTACGGCCCCGCTCCCGTCCAGGTTGGATTTTTGCCGTCACCTCCTTCTTCACCTCCTTCCGGAGTCCTTCCGCTGTTTGCCCGAAGCGCCTCCGAGCGCCAGGCCGTGCCGCGGCGCGGGCCTCTGCCAGCTGCTCCGGCTCCTTCCGCTGCCGCGGACCCTGTGTTCCCGAAAGCCGCCGTGTCCAGTGCCGGGCCCAACGACATGAAGGAGCGGCCGTGTCACTGTGTGCGTCCCTCATCGGCTTGTCTTTGAAATTCGCATGTGCTCAAGCCAGGAGGCAGAAGCTGAAACCAAAAAGTTCTTCGAGCGCCTTGGGCTTCAAACGGAGTACGGTGTGCGTCGAGTGTGTCTAGGTGTGTCTTGGACACGAGATGCCAAGCCGTTGAACGAGGGGTCGTTCCTAACAACTCGGACAAGCAGACTTCGAAACTTTTACAGAGCCGATTCGTCGATCACGGCTTTTGGATGGGCCCTCGGCGCTCGGGTGCGGTGCCTTGCAACCAAGGATCGAGGAGATGGCCCCTGGGCACAATTGACGGATGCAGTCTGCAAAGTCTGTAGGCCAGGTGTCTGCCTTGCGTTCAGATTCAGGTGGCCAAGGAGACGGGCTTGCCCTTAAACAGCAGCGAAGCGGCCCAGAAGGAGGAGGAGGAGAAAGCGGAGGCCAAAGAGGCGGAGGAGGAGGAGGAGGCAGAGCGATTCGATGCCTTGCGCCTTGGCAAAAAGTGCCAGAAAAGGGCCCGCGCCAGTGCGCTTCTTGCTAGAGTCAGAGTCTCGTGCGCGTGCCTTCAGTTTCAAGACCTCTGCAGGTATGCAGGTATCGCGCTGGTGATTCTACTGGCAGCTTCCGGGCTGCAGTGGACATGTGAGACATTGGAGCTTGTACGTCGTGTTCTATCAAGGCCGGCGGGACTTTCTACTTCCATCGGCGTTCTCAGCAGAAGCTAGACAAGCTGAAACCTGGAGAGGTCCGGTCCGGGCCAGCCCGGCGTGCCGGCACCGAAGGAGACCACGGCTCACAGGGTCTGAAAGCTTTTGGACAGGTACCGACGGTACCGACAGCGGCACCGTCTTCGGCCCCGCCAGAAGACCCCAGCGCACCGGGGCCGGCGGAAGCGGAAGGGAAAGCTGCCACAGGGAGCTGACAGTGCCTCAAGTCACGATCCTGGCGGTTGAAAGGGTGCGAGCTTTGTTTGGCCTTGAGAGACGCAGAGGCGCACAAAGAGAAAGCTGCTTCAGCTGCAAGCTTTTGCGTCTCTTGTCGTGGCACTCTCTGGCTCGCACACAGAGCCCCCCCCGCGCAAGCACTCGCGGCTCGTGGCTGGACACTCAGAGTCTGAGCCCATGGAGCTGCGAGTTGTGCGACTGGTGGCCACTTCCTGCCGTTTGTGAGGGTGCCATGGGCAAGAAGAGGAAAGACAGCGACAGCGACGACAAGAAGAAGAAAAAGAAAAAAGACAAGGTTCTTGCTGCAAGGGATGATGCCTAGTGTTTAGCAGGGGTCTGCATGCAGGACAAAAAGAAAAAAGACAAGAAAAAGAAGGACAAGAAAAAGAAGAAGGCTCTGTAGCTTCTCGTGCCAAGACACATGTGATGGAATGGCAGAGGCAAAGAAGGAGTCGAGCAGCAGCGATAGTAGCAGCAGCGAGGAGGAGGACAAGACCCAGAGCCTTGACAGGCAAGGAGTGTGGAATCCGTCAAATGCATCCGTGGCGTGGGGCACATAGTATTGCCATGGATCGCGTGTCTGCGTTGTATAAGGGCCGCCAAAGACGGCCAGGCTGCGGGACGGGAATGCGGTTTGAGAGTGTGGGATCGCTGGAGCCGCCAGGCAGAGCTCGCCGCCACTCCGAAGGCACTTGGAACATTTCCGACCTTGCATGCGTCACGAGTCACTCGCGCTGGGCCCGAAGCCATCGCTCGCCAAAGTTAGGTCCTTAGCAAGGGGTTAGTGCTGTAGTGATCGGAGTGGCCTCATTATGTTGTAGTCCTCTTGTTTTGGAAGGGAGAGGGGCCTGGGGATGCTGGGGGCGGGTGGCTTTGCCTGCACAATGAATTGTGGGGTGCATGTAGTCCTCCGGAGCTGCAGAGCTTGTGCATGAGACCTGCACTTGCGAACCCTGATCCCAAAAGCAAAGCACACGGTGGCTGATGATACTTCTTCTGTCGTCGCGTCTTTGACTGCTCTCCCAGAATGCTTCGTCGCTGTCGGGGGAGGCGGAGGTCTGGTTGTCAGCTGGAGAGGCGGAGTTTGAGCCGCCTCCTGTGAACCTCGATGCGCTGCCCCCGCTGGAGGCTCCGTGAAACACGAAAGGACGTCTCTGTATTCAGCTTCTTGCAGGACGGCATCTTGCGCTTTGAGTTCACGCTGGAGGAGAAGGCGCCTCGCGAGTCGAGCTGAGCACCGCATGTCACGTGTGCGCGCACGTGCAGGGTGCTCTCGGGGTTCGCTTTTCTGGTGGTTCCCCGCCGATGATCCTGTCGGCCAGGGCCCCGGGCCCCAGGGCCCTGTGCGCTGTGAGCGACCCCTGGGCTCGAGTTCGGTCAGGTTGCTCCGGATTCCTTCGCCAGCAAGAAGGGGATCCCTGTGAACTACGAGGCCTGTGCGCCTGTGGTGGTCTCGCTGCCTCACATGGAGAGAACAGGTCCATGCCATCAACGGCTTAGCCCTCGTCCAGCAGAACCAGCAGCGTGCAACGGGCCGAGACGGGGCCAGGAGAAGAGGCGAAGATCGTGAGCCCAGAGCGCTTCCGAGGTGATGCACTTCCTGAAGAGCCGGCCGGTGGTGCTGGACGTGCGACCCCTGGGCCTGGCGCTCGTTTCTGGAGGAGCGGAGTCCGGACGTGTAGTGTCTTGCTCGAAAGGGTGGAAGCCTCCAGAGAAGATGAAGGAGCTGAAGCGAAGGCAGCAGCAGGAGGAGGCTTCCATGCAAAACGCCTCCACGGCTTTATGGTGCCTTTGGGGGGATCTGGAGGCGGAGCAGAAGGCAAAGATGGCCGTGGAGAAGAAGCGCCGCGAGCAGGCCTCAGCTCGCCGAGCGCCGTGAATGGCTCTTTAAACCGTGAGCTTTCGCGTGTTCACCGGCCCTGGGCTCTCTGGGCTGCGCGTAGCTGCGTAGCTGTAGGACTGTAGGGATCCGTTTTTGCCGCCGCCATGGCCGTGATATGATCTGCAGGCTGGGCGGCTGGGCCGGAGCAAAGAGACAGGATGTGGCACGGTTGCTGTGCTGTGCAGGGTGGGCACGCTTGCAGAACACAAGCTGCGTGAGCTGCTGGTGGCCGCGAAGCCCAGACATGGGCGCCTCCACGGAAAGCTTGGGCCTAAGAGCTGAAATGCAAGCGCTCGCTCGCTGGCCTCCTGTCCTGACCCGTTGGCATGGCAGCGCTGCGGTGAATTTCGCGGCGGCTCAAGGATGGTTGGAAAGTAGATGCATTCGGAAGAGTTGAGCAGTTCAATGCAGATGTTCGTCAAGTCTTCTCTTAAGTGCTGGCACATGGTTGTCCAATGTTGTCCAGACCCAAAACACACAAGCAACGAGCCAAACTGGTTTGCTAAGCCGCAGCGCTGCAGAGGGCAAAGAACGAGGCGAGAAGTGCCTGGGCCTCGACTGAGTGGCTCGGCCTTGAAAGGTCACCCAGGTCGGCCTTTCGTCTTCCGTCGCCGAATGACCTGCTGACGAGTCGAGTCGGGGAATCGGAATGGCCGATCTTCCCTTCTCTTTGGCGGCCCTTCTGGGCATGGCCAACAGTGCCAACAGCGGTGGTCCTGCTCGAGAAGGCGGTACCATCACGCTGCTGACGCTGCCTGGCCGTGGCTTGGTCGGGGCTGCCATCACGCCCAACGGCCGCTCGGATTCCCAGAACTTTAGCCCGTGACCCCTGCTTTTGCTCTCTCGGTTCAACCGGGTGCAGGCTCGGAGCCGGGCTTCCCATTGCCACTGGGCCTCCTGCAGAGCCTGGGGGGCCAGGTCTCCCGTGTGCCCGTGGCCGTTCCAGAGGACAACATCAACTTTTTTTGGGGGGGTGGGGGGTGAAGTGAACTTCCCACGTCTTTGGCTTTTGTCGTGAGCCAGGAGGATGCTGCGGATGCGCTAGGCCCATTGATGCACATTTCGTCTCGAGTCTCGCGCGAGCGTGTCCCGTGCGCAATGTGGGCATTTCAGGTGGCATCATGCGCATAATGATGGAACAGATGGCCCAGATCGCCATGCAGCGTAGCATGGAAGAATCTGGACCAAAAGTACCCCCTGCCAGCGAAAGAGTACGTGATGCCCTGCCCCGTGTCGTTGTGACGAAGGACCCGAGAGAAGATCGAGCTGCAATATGGGTCGGGAGAGTCGGGTGAAACGTGTGTGTGGCCTTGCCTGCTCAGAAGGAAGATTTGCTGGATGCCACCAACTCGAAGTGTTCCGTCTGCTTGGAGGCTGGTCTGATTGCGACGCGGCTGAGTCCTCCCCATGGCATGGAGAGTCAGGACTATCGACCTGGTGTCCGCGCAACCAGGTTCGCTGCTCTAGCGCTTTCTCGTTGGGGACCTGAGCCTGGCCCACTGGCTCTGCTCAAGAGGATGCTCTGCGGGCACTTGTTCTGCACCGGCTGCATCCGCGAGTGGCTGCGGGAGGCCAACAGCTGCCCCGCTGCTCCGCACGCATCCGATCGCCTTGAACATCTCCATGTCTTTTAAGTGCGGGCATGATGTCGGCTTCTAAGGTTTGTCGGTACGAGCTTGCGACCGACTGTGAGGATTTCGAGTCTGGACGTCCTGCGCCCAGGGGAATCACGAGCACAGACTCGTACAGCAGCAACTATGGAGACCTCAAGTTGACAGATGGGTGCTCGGAGGAGGTGTTTCGGCAATTCTGCTTGCTGAGGGCGGACCCGCATGTCCGGACGGACCGTGCGACTCCGTGCAGCCGAGTTGAGGATGCTCCGAATCTCCGAGCTTCGAAGGCTTTGCGATTCTGCGTGAATCGATATCAGTGATAGCACCGGGTGCTGGCCGCTAGCCGGTCCCTATACGCCCAACAGAAAGCAAGAGCGAGGGAGAGAATATGAGATTAATGAACCGGGACCATTCTCACCGACAGACCCAAGACCAGTGCGCGCACGCACGCGGGGGGAGGGTTGCACCACCTCTTGGCTGAGAGCAAGCACGCAAGAATCAACATGCCTCGGCGGCCGCAAGGCAAGCTCGGCTTGCAGTACATGTCAGTGAGGCTTTGCCAAGGGGTCCTATTTTGAGGAGTGCTCGCATGTGTGGCAGTGTTAGTGTGGGTGACAGTTGAGTTGTTGGGGGACCCAAGCCCTGGACAACAACTTCGCCAATCACGAAAGCTAGCTCTGTGGAGCTCGCGGGAGTTGCCCTTTAGCAATTCACTTGTATTAAGGCACTAGGGAAAAAACAGGGTTTGCACCTTATCAGGTGGGACGTCCAAGAGTTAAGGTGGGGGGTAGGGGGGGGGCCCCCCCCTTCACCTTGTCATTATGCGTTTTCCACTGATAAGGTCCCCTCCCCCCCCTCCTTTAAGGTGGTTGTGCCTGGGATAAGGTGGGGGGGGGGGGCCCCCCCCCATCATGAGGTCCCCCCTCCCCCCCCCCCTCCTCAAGGTCCCTTGGTTTTGTTTGTGTCTGACGTTCGGCGACTGAAGTGCGGTCTTCTCTCCAGAGTTACCTCTAGTTGTCGTTCGCACATTACTTTCTCAAGAGTTAAATGAACGAGCAACGCCTGCACCCTTCACCGGCCCAAACTTTCCCTCCGCTACTGTCGTGCACATCGCTTTGCAGAGCTCAGCACCGGACCTCGTGCTTCTAGCTTTCGTGACCAGCTCTCAAGTATAGCCTCACAGCAACAGCACATCCCCGGACAGTTTGAGTGTTCCAGCAATAGTCGTCGAGGCGGGCTGGGGGATCTAGGTATAGTGGTTTCGGGGGGACGTCCGGTGAATGAAACTGCGTCTTTTCACTTTCGTCATTCCACCCTCTGATTTTCCGGTGCGCGGTAACGCGCGGGGTTGGGGGGGGTGTCGCAGACGTGAACCCTCTCGGTCGAGTGGAACAAGAATCAACATTGACATGCATGCATGCATGTTATGTTTGTTGCGCGTTAACGTATTCCTCATTCCGTCGGGAGAGTGAAGCCGATGTCTTGAGAGCACCTGGACCTTCGTCCTGACAAGTCGTCATTCTTAAAGGCCACAGGTGGGCTTGGAGCCCGGGAGCTTGAATGCTCCTCAAGAGAGGGAGAGAGAGAGAGAGAGAGAGAGAGAGAGAGAGAGAGAGAGAGAGAGAGAGAGAGAGAGAGAGAGAGAGAGAGAGAGAGAGAGAGAGAGAGAGAGAGAGAGAGAAAGAGAGAAAGAGAGAGAGAGAGAGAGAGAGAGAATGCCATGTGGCCGGCAGGCCTGACAAGCTCCCCAAGCCCTGGCGAAGAAGAGACAATGCACCCAGACCTAACCCCGTCAGCGAGCGAGCGAGAGAGACAATGCACCCTCGGGACTGGGGAACTACAGAACGGCTACTGCGCCAGAAGACCAGACGGCAGGGAATAACTTGATTTGCTTCCATTCATGCGGCAATGCGAGACCTTGCGAGGCTCATGGATGCGCTGGGCGTCTCAGGCGAAGGCTGCGCAGAGTTGTTGCACAGTTTCCGTTCGAGTTGCCGTCAAGAGTCGTCGGACTTGTTGAGGTTGCCTGGAAAGAGCAGACCTGGTGCGGCACCTGGAAGGCGCTCCAGATGTCGAGGTCGCGCCGGAGCTCTCTGCCGCAATGGCAGAGAAAAAGTTCCGCTACGACCTGCAAGATCTTGAGAAGCTGGACCTTCCACTGCTTCGAAATCTCATGGAGCGTCACCGAGTACCCTTTGACCTAGAAGACGATCTCTCCGAAGACGATGAAAGGAGAGTGGCCCTTCGCTCCTTTGCAGACGCCGGTTGGATGAGAGGGGCCTCAAAGACGATGCCAAAGGCGAGCGAAGCCGGAGCCCAGAAGCCGGAGCCAAGCTTGACGAAGCCGGAGCCGGAGAACAAGATCAAGCATGCGGAGACGACGGAGACCGCCGCCGGCATGGCTCCCGCCGCTGCCTCGGTCGCTTCGGTCCCTTCCGAAGCCGAAGCCGGTGAAGCGCGAACATCGCGAAGCGAGACCTGGAGCGGGTCGAGCGGGCCGAGCGGCGGTGAAGGTGGCCAGAGCGAGGGCGAGGCCAAGAGCTGCGCGGCAGGCGGGCGCTCCAAAAAGAGCCGCTTTCTCTCCAAGTTTGTCTTGCTCCGTCAGGCGAGGCTGCCAAGGCTGCCAAGGCTGCCAGGCCGGTGGAGCCGCCGCCTGCCAAGCGAAGGCCACGGCCCGGGGGCAAAGAGGCCAAAGACAAGGTCCGAGGAAGCGGCGCTGGCAGTGCTACTGCTAGCGGCCCAAATCCCCCTGCCACCGACTCGAGCTCGAGTGCAAGCTCTGGAGGTGGTGGGAATGAGATTACTGAGGCTTAAACTAAGAGTTTCGAGAGACTTCAACTTTGGTGGCCAAGAGGCCAGGATAGGCTCCACCAACCCATTTCAAGGTGAGCAGGACATTCTTTTGTTGCTGCGAGTTTTGGTGAAGCCTTCCAACAGCTCCTAGCTGGTTTCAATAGTGCTGCGCCGTTTCAGAATCCCCTCAATGAGCAAGGTGGCTTTCGAGCAGTCGAGCAAGCTTTGCTCTTCGCGCGCACGATGGTTAGCTGCTAGCAGCGTCAGTGTCCATAGATCGAAACCGATGTAAGTGTAATTAACCAGTGTCCAGTCATGCTTAAGGCTGCGGGACCTGTCTCCTGCGACTGGAAATTTTCGAGCTGGGAAAAGACCTTGAGCAGGAGACACAAGAAGGCGGCACCTAGATCTGGGCTGAAACCAAGGAGTCCGGGAGCGCTGCGTGCGGTGTTCCTGCAGGCAGATGCCTCCGATCGTCGACGGATGAAGTTGCATGTGTAGTCCTGTGTTGATCTGAAGTGGCACCGGATCAAGACTTGGGGCATGTATTGTGTACCCGTTGCGGCTACGAGAGCATCCATGGACACTCGT